GAACCCACCAGCCTTGGTGTATGTGGCTGGTGCCTTAACCGCTAAGCTACAGGCACCAAGCCATGTTCCCTTGTCTTGTTCACAGAGGTAGCTGAGGAGCTTGGGAGAGCCGCCTCATCATCATCTGTTGTTCCGTACCTTCCCCGATTACCTATACTTCCTTCCAAGACTCGGACACTGAAGAAACAGCTGGAGAACAAGGAGAACATTGAAGGAGTACAAGATGCCACAGAAAACTCTGCTTCCAGTTCAGCACCAGGTATGGGCCCCTGGGCAGGTAGAGTGAAAGTGTTAATAAAAACTGTCTTGTTGAAAGAAACCTGCAGTATAATGCTTTTATGCCCATTTCCATGCCCATCGTCTTTGGGAAAAGTATGGCATCTGTTTTACCTATCATCCTAGTCCCTGGTTCTGTATTGCCTGTTAGTCTTGATCTATCCATCTAACACATGACCCTGCCTCCAGTTCCATGTCTTCAACTCCAGATTCCCAGTTAGTTACCTTTATAGTTCCAGCAAAAATGTCATTGAGCCCGATAGATGAGAACAGGTTGTGTAGTAATTTTTGAAGGGGGAATGCTGAGGTAATAACCTGCAGGTTACTCTTCCCCACTTATAACCCACATTGCATTTGCATTTGGAAGACTAATCATTCTGAAAGGACAATCTGACATTTAATAAATGCTGGCAAAACTCTTATAATTTGGTCTTAGTAACTTAAACGTAATGGATTCACTATGTGTCTTCCACTTTACTGTTTGAATCTTTCTCACCAGGGTTCATAAGAAGTGCACAGCCCTCTAGTGGGTCTCCAGCACTGCCTCGAAAACAAAGAGACAAGTCACCCAGCAGCCTCTTGGAAGATGCCAAAGAGACATGCTTCACTAGGGATAGGAAAGGAGGCTTCTTCAGCTCCTTCATGAAAAAGAGAAATGCTCCCACACCCCCCAAACGCAGCAGCTCCTTCCGAGAAATGGAGAATCAGCCCCACAAGAAATATGAACTCACGGGTAACTTCTCATCTGTTGCTTCTCTACAGCATGTTGACGGGTTCTCTTTCACTCCTGCCCAGCAAGAGGCGAATCTGGTGCCACCCAAGTGCTATGGGGGGAGCTTTGCACAGAGGAATCTCTGTAATGACGACGGTGGTGGGGGTGGGGGCAGTGGCACTGCTGGGGGTGGGTGGTCTGGCATCACAGGCTTCTTTACGCCACGCTTAATCAAAAAGACACTGGGCTTACGAGCAGGTAAACCCACAGCCAGTGATGACACTTCCAAGCCTTTCCCAAGGTCAAACTCTACATCTTCCATGTCCTCAGGGCTTCCAGAGCAGGATAGGATGGCAATGACTCTTCCCAGGAACTGCCAGAGGTCCAAACTCCAGCTGGAAAGGACAGTATCCACCTCTTCTCAGCCAGAAGAGAATGTGGACAGGGCCAATGACATGCTTCCAAAAAAATCAGAGGAAGGTGCTGCTCCCTCCAGGGAAAGACCAAAAGCTAAACTATTGCCCAGAGGAGCTGCAGCTCTTCCTCTCAGAAACCCCTCTGGGGATCCAGCCATTGCTGAGAAGGACTCTGCAGGGGTGGGAGTGGCTGGAGTAGCAGCTGCCTCCAAGGGCAAGGAGAGGAATGGTGGGGCACGACTTGGGATGGCTGGTGTCCCAGAGGATGGAGAGCAACCAGGTTGGTCTTCTCCAGCCAAGGTCGCAGCAGTCCTCCCAACCACTCATAACCACAAAGTGCCAGTCCTTATCTCACCCACTCTGAAACATACTCCGGCTGACGTGCAGCTCATTGGCACAGACTCTCAGGGGAACAAATTCAAGCTTTTATCTGAGCATCAGGTCGCATCCTCTGGAGACAAGGACCGACCCCGACGGGTAAAACCAAAGTGTGCCCCGCCCCCACCACCAGTGATGAGACTACTGCAGCATCCGTCCTCATGTTCAGACCCTACGGAAGAGCCTGCTGCCCCAACTGCAGGACAGCCCCCATCAGAAACACAGGAAGGAGGGAAAAAGGCAGCTGCAGGGGCAGTGCCTCTCAGTGGGAAAGCTGGGAGGCCAGTGATGCCTCCACCTCAAGTGCCTCTGCCCACATCTTCCATCTCGCCAGCCAAAATGGCCAATGGCACAGCAGGTACTAAAGTGGCTCTCAGAAAAACCAAACAGGTGGCTGAGAAAATCTCAGCAGACAAAATCAGTAAAGAGGCCCTGTTGGAATGTGCTGACCTACTGTCCAATGCAATCACGGAACCTGTGCCCAATAGCCAGTTGGTAGACACTGGACACCAGCTCCTCGACTACTGCTCAGGCTATGTGGACTGCATCCCTCAAACTCGCAACAAATTTGCCTTCCGAGAGGCTGTGAGCAAACTGGAACTCAGCCTGCAGGAGCTACAGGTGTCTTCAGCAGCTGCTGGTGTGCCAGGGGCAAACCCTGTCCTTAATAACTTATTGTCATGTGTACAAGAAATCAGTGATGTGGTGCAGAGGTAGCCACTGTTGGCCTAGTGGGGAGATGCACACGTTTCTGAGGGGAGAGGGAAAGAGAACTTGTTTTCCTGTGTTCTTGTTTTTAAAAAAATGAAAGATTGATACTTGAGTGTGTTTATGTGAAGTACCTCAGATCCCTGAGTTCTCACGTTTACAGGTTCATCTCAAAAATAACAAAATGCAGACTACATAAGCATAGGAGCGGTGAATTAGGTGGGGGCAAGGCAGTCGTGGACAGGTGGGAAGCTGCACTGCAGAAATCAGGGAACATGTATGTGTCATAAAGAAATGCAGCCCATCCCTGCCTGGCAAGATGTGAGGGGCTAGACAGGGCCCTTCTCTGCAGGCCGTGGGGGCTGTGCCCAGGCAGTGGATTGGCACTCATCCTGCACCAGGTGAAAGATTATTGAACAGGACTCCAGTAGATGCTTATGGTGATAACACTCTAGCTTACCTAATGAATTTGGTGGGATAGGACAAAGCTGAGAAAGTACCAGGAGAAGTTTTGTTCATGGAAACATACCAAGAGGCATGTTGGGAGAAGCTGTTAGCTTTGCTTCCACAAGGTCATTGCTGCTGAAATAACTGCAAATAAATTGCTAGAATACAAAACTGGGAAATGAGGCTCTATTTTCCAGTGGTGTATTAGTTGGCGCAGGAGTAAAGAATGCTGAGTTTAGTCAGGAAGATGGAAACCTCCTCCTAAATCTTACATTGATTATCAGAAGCCACTTCTCGTAGTCTAGTATATTATTTCTCAGTGGGCCAGCATCAGCTTTCTGCTTGTTGGTGGCTATTTGTAAACCATAAGGACAGGGAGGTCTCCTTAGGGGTTCTTTGTCCCTGGCAGCATTCAGGGCATTAACCAACATTGATTTTTGAAAATAGGGTCCCTACAGGTTCTCATCGGGAAATGAATCTTTTTCTGATACAGTGCTCATGCATGCTAACACACTGGCTGATGACTTGGGCAGCTGTATATTCCTTTATCAACTAGAATAACAACCAGTGAGATGGTCTCTTCTTGAAACCCAACAGCCCTCTGAGAGAACCTGGCTGGCTTGGTCCTAATGAGTGTTTCTCTGAACCTTCCCTCCCTTGTCACCTTAAGCCTCATCTAGGTAGACAGTAGGGAAAGCATTTTCTCTCTCTCTCTCTCTCTCTCTTTCTGGATTTGAAGTGAATTACCCCAAATCACTATCACATGCTTTTCTTCTCACACGTATTCTCTCTCCCACCATCCCTGTCCAATCCTTGTGCTTATTTGTGCAGATCTTATTGGGAATACTCATTATTTTGCCATTTTACCCCTATTTTAAGTATGCGTAATTAGAGGAGTAGATCATTTTCAAGGAGCACAATTAGACCCTAGAAACCTAATAATTTAACCACCAAATATGTTTTGCCTTTGAAAAACAGGCCTTTTCCTTCCCTACTCAGTTATAATAAATGGAAGCTAACTAGGGTCGTATAGAAGTGAATCCAATGGGTTAGATATTAATGTTCTTGGTATTAGCTCTAATTTCAATCACTGCTTCATTCACTTTATAAAGCTTTGTGAACACTTCCCCCTCCCTTCCCAAGGAGAGCCCACTACATATTTTTTTCTTTAAGGAATTTTTCTCTTTTTATCTTTAAGGAATATTAATGGGAATTCAACCTTGAGCAATGAGTTTTCTTCTTGGCTTTGCCATCAATCCTCATAGTCAAGCCACAGCCCCATCTCTTAATCTAGTATATAAAGGTAATAATACATATTCTCAAGGGGGTTCTGCAAGTAATTATATAGTTATCCCTTTGAGAGTCTCTCTGGAAAGTTATTTAGTGCAGTGTTGTTATGTTGAAGTGTTTTTCATTCTCTTTTATGAGTAGCAGATATTAATGAAATTTAAAACTGCTGAGATTATATTAATTGGGATACAATAATAAGGGGGAAGCTATGTTTGAATATATTTTGGCATCTTTACCCAACAAGGAAACTGAGTTTTCATTAGAAAGAAAGGAACACTTGTTTCTTCTCACTGCTGCTCCAGAAGAGGACCAGGTTAGAAGGATTAGAGAGAGCAGACAGTACCAGTGTTTCTGGCAGGTGGCCATGGTCCTGCCAGTGTGTAACCTGCTGCAGCACAGGAGCTAGCGATCCGGTTAATTTCCTTACAGAGGTTGGAAGAGAACTTAGATTTAAAAATCAACAGTCCTCCTCCCACCTTCTTCCCTTCTACCGCCCCACATGTCCATTAACTTGAACTTGTTTTAGCAGTCAGCCTTTCAAGGGTAGGGAGGGGAAAGCTAAAACTTTAGAATGTTACTATGCTGCTTTTAAGTTTATGCCTGTGATTGTGGGATGCAAGATAAGGGATTATATAATTTCAGGAGTTTTAATTTAATTTAATTTAATTTTTAAGCAAGGGTTCTATTTTTCCTTGAGAGTTCCGAACGTAAGCCTTGGAGAAACACTACTGAGTATATTTAAGCTCCCTGGTTTTCTCACTGAGTAGCAGTCCTGAGGGTGGGGTTGGGGCTGTGTCTCACTCAGGGGCAGCACCTAGCTCTATCTTGCCTGCAGTAGGTGCTCAATACATAAATGGGTTTTTGTTAACACTGTCAAGGGAAGCTTTGACTGTTGTAGCATACCCCATCAACATGATGCTTGAACTGTGTAACTTCAGGGGGTTGAGGGCTCAGGGTTTAGGTTAAAGAGGCACTGTCAACTTACTGTAAAGTATCCTTTAGGGTTTTTTTTATTCTACTTGAAAAGGACCAGCTTAAAAAAACCTCATGTAAATTAAAAGGTTTGAATCCAAAGCAGAGAAAACTACTTCTAGAAACTAAAAATGTAGTTTTAATGTACCTAGTCTAAGAGCAAAGCAAATAGCAAGAGTCCCTTGTACAAGATATTGGCAATTTTCCCAAGATGGTTAAACGGTGTGTGTGTATATGTATATATACACATATATGCATACCTTTGGGCTATCACAGCCTGATTCCTTTCATGTACAGGTAATATAATTTCAGTTTAGACTTCCGACCTTAAAATGAAGTGTTTTATGTTGACTACATCTAAAGTATTTTCTTAAAAGGCTTTGTGTAAAGTTAAAATGTGTATATTTTCCTCCAGACTTCCATCATGATTTTCAGAGATAGAGCCTTAAAAAAATTGACCCTAAAAAATTCATTCAGTGCTTTTCTAGATGCCCTCTGTAGGTAGAGATCATTATAATAGAGACCCCTTACTAGCAGCATATTAGGGTTTAAAGTAGGAATTTTCTTACAATTCAATGAAACATTGGCTAGTAAAATATGCTGACTTTGCCAAGGAATAGCCCGTGTTCTAAAGTCATGGAGCTTTTGAGTTTAAGGGATGCAATACAAATAGTGGTTTAGAGTTCAGGCTAGAAGGCAAGTCATTTAACCTTCCTGAGCCTCAATTTCCTATAGTAAAACAGGGATAGTAACTACCTCAGGGTTGTTAAAGAATTAAATAGGATAATGTTTGTAAGAGACTTAGCACAAGTGCCTGGCACACAGTGAACACTCCATAAATGTCAACTACCATTATTATTAACACCCAGGCCAGAAAGGTACAGCAGAATCTTCTAAGTAGGGGATAAAAACCTGATGAATTAGCTTCACTACAGATCAGAATGTCCAATGGGGTAGGGTCTCAGTCAATATATTTTTCAAGAATCTCTCCAGGTGTTTGAGATACCTAGCGCTTTCTGAAAACTGTCAGCACCCCAACTCCTTTATCTATAGGTTAAGAAACTAGAGAGAACAGTTAAGTTACTTGTCCATCATCTCAGAACAGTTAATCAGAACAGTTAACACAGTGGCAGAGCCAAGGCTAGAATTGGGGTCTTCTGACTTTATGGTTTGGGGCCTCCCGCCATACCTGCTGCCTTGTGAGACACTGCAAAAAAAAGTGGCTCAGATCGACAATCAGCCCACGTGGTGCTGCACATTTTGTAAAGCACATGCTCCTGACACTGGCCTAATGGGGCTTGAGTGTTGAGTAATGGCAACACAAGCAAAGCAAGCATTCAGTAGAAGTCACTAGTTAAAATTATTTGGGGTCATTCCTTGGACAGACCTCCAGTCAGTGTGCAACACAGCAATGTGCACTTTGTAGTAAAGAAACACCAACTTGAGTGGTTTTTTCTTTTTAACTAGATAGTCCTGCATTCCTTTTTCTTAAAAAAAAAACAACTTTATTCAGTATCATTTTAATGACTATGAGATAATGTATATGAAAGCACTTTTGGAAAGCATCAAATGTAATATAACTATAAGGTGGTATTATTGTCTGTTTAGAAGATAAAACAATTGATTAAATGCTAATTGACCTGGAGATTTACCTGTGGGGGACCTGAAAATGCAGATGTGTAATTACCTCTGTAATTTGTCATATTTATAAATATGAAACTGCTAAATGAATATGTGCAGATATAGCATGTGTTTTGCTAAAGTTGTAGTTCAGAGCTAAGTCACTTCAGAAAACAAGGGACCAACTTTTTGGTTTAACTTTGATCCTTAAAAAGTAGTAATGTGTACTCACTCCAGAATACAGAAGCTCTTCCAGGGACCTTGACTCAAAAGGATGATGAGTCTCTCTTACTTTTGTGCTCCACATTTGTTCATTTGTCCAGTACATGCTCACCCATTTAATATCCTAAGTGTGGTGGGAGCAGACACGTTACCTGTTGATGTTGACAGTGTCTTTTTTAACCTATGTCCTGTGTGATTTTGTTGCTTGGTGGTTTTTTGTTTTTTTTTTTTTTGGTGTGTGTGTGTGTGGGGAGCTAGATGGCCGTAGAACTAGTGCACTTTGGGAATTACTTTTCTAGGATTTCCTACCAGTTATGAATGGCATCAACATTTATCCTTTGTCTTTATTTGTTTTAGAAAAAGAGTAACTGAACTTAATTCACCTATTGGATTATAAAACACTCGAGTCAATTGCATTGGTGTCCACTTGTGAGTTACACCTAACCTCTCCTGCTCCCTTTCGTTTTTGCTACTGATGTTATAATTAGTATCAGGCGCTGCCCCTATAGCAGTTTCTGTTGGGTTGACAGGGTTATCTGTAGTTTGGTTCTTCATGATTTTCCAGTTTCATCATCTT